CGCAAGATCAAACGTATTCACCAACAACTCCACGCGCGCAGGTATTCACTGCCACAAACCTGCACGTGCAGCAATGAGCAGTCAAGCGGTCACAGCAGGCGTCACACGTGTGAGTGAAGCTCTGCTCGTTCCAACCGGCCCGACTCTAGTCCACGCATCAGTCAAAGTCGCTGATATCTGCTGCTCAGCTTGGACTCCGGGTCATCTTCTCCACGTCTGCGTGCCTAAATGCTGCCCCGTGATTGGCTTATTAGATACTCGCTGTACCTAAGTGGCCGTGAGGCTCTTGTTCAGATCTAGCTCGGTTTCCAGGCCTTCCAGCATCCCTCGTGTTCTTCACGGACCTTTGTTGTTTTTGCTCTTTCTCTGAGCGTCCTGCATTTGCGTGTTTCCCCTCGTTTCACGTGGAAACTAGTTCGTGGTGAGACTTGCGTTTTTCTCCTCTGCCATCTTTCCTGCTCAGCATTGCGATGCTCGGGCTGAGGTGTTTGGGGAGCGTGTGGGATGTTTCCTCACATAAAGATGCTGTAAATTCAAAGAGCGACGGAAGACAGAAAAGGCAAAGTTCACAAACTGAATAATATCACGCTCACTTACCCTGAAGTCATCTTGGATATTAGGAAGAACGTGACATTTACATAATCCGGTTACGTAAAAGCTGTTCGCTGTGAACCAGCTGATCAGAACAAACGTGTCGCAGTAAAGCACAAAATCATTACGCTTCTATTCTGAGAGCTGGGTCCAGGATGTGTAGCGTGAAATTAAAATAGCAGTGTGCTTCCCATCAGCTCGATGCAGCGGTGTTTGAGCTGCTGGAGTCCTGGAATTTATGTTTTGACACTGAATGCAAATCACCTCTTCCCCTTCCCCTGTTATCAAAGGCGTCCCTGCGGCACTCTGAGCCTCCGCTGGCAGACGAGCCGATGATTCAGCACAGCAGAAGCAGCGCTGCTCGCTGTGCGCCACCCTCGACCCGCGGATGTGCCAGTGTTGGTTGGCTTTGATCGCCACGGAGGAGCGCTGGAGCCTTGAGGCAGGCGGTAGACACCAGCCGGGGGTTTGAATCGGGATCTTTCTTGTCTTTGCCTCATTTTCACCTTTTTTAACACAAAAACCCCTCAACGTCACTCTCGGCCCCTCCGAGAATCCCTCTCGGGCTGAGCGAGGTGTGAGCGTGGGCATTAAGCTGAGGATGAGCAGTAATCCAAACAGAAGCAGATAATGACTCACCTTGTGTCGTGGATGGATCATCTCAGCCTTGGCTCAGTTTGGTCTGTTTCAGCATGTTCTACCTGCCACGTGGTGGTCTCCGTCTGCGCCCACCCGGGACAGTTTCACCACCTTCACGGTGATGGTGTGTTTTTTGACTGGACACTCAGTGGACACCTTGGTGTTAAACCTCGTGGGACAAACAGAAAATCGCCTCAGGCTGAGACAAAATCTATTTTTAATTGATCTAAACTCCGAAAAAGATCTGAAGAACTTTCACTCTTATATGTGTTTGTTATTATCATGGAAGCAAAAATGATGCCTTTGTACCGACGGACCATCATCATCATCAGGGCGCAGCAGTCAGCTGGCCTTCACAGGCGCGACTGACGCGGTGTTTGATTCAGTGCGGAGAAAAAGATTTGCAATTTTACAGAATTTTCCTGTAATTTTAAATAATGTCATACAAAATAAAGAAAAATCCATAACTGTGAATAAACATGAACTGAAAACTCCCACAAAAAAGACACAATTTCACACATATGTGATTTTATGTAAAAAGAAATGTTAAATTCTAGTTTAATGCTGTAACTAAAAATCTAACATCTGATGCCCTGAGAGAAGATTATACAGAAAGAGGTCTGAGTTGTGTAATCGTGCAAAGATCAGTTATTATTGGATGTTTTCACTGTAAAGAAAAAAGAAAGAAAGAAAACAACGATACAGCAGCACGTCATAAGTGCAAATAATAAAATGTTTTATTTTGAAAATAAATAAACTGAGTAATATTACTCGTGAGTTCTGTATCTTGAAAACTATATTTTGTGTGCAAAGACAATTAATTCTACAAAGAAATTGATAAACTTGCTGAAAAGTAATAATAAGACATCAATGAAGACATACACAAATTTAACGATTTTGAACATTTCAAATTTCATCATCATTTAAAATCAGCAGCTGTCATTAAATATCGTTTTAAACAGAACTGTTTTAAAATAAAGTTCCTAAAAAACAGAACATTTTTGTAATTATGTACTTTGTATGTTTTATAAATACTATGAAAACTAAAACAAAATTAGATTCACAATTTAAAACATATAGAAACGTTTTGTATTATCGTGATGGTTTTGTAAATCTCATAAATGTGGATGCTGCTGCTTCTGCCGGAAACTTCTTCCTGTTAACAGGGAGTTCTTCCTCCCCACTGTTGCCAAAGTGCTTGCTCATATTGTTTGGCTTTTTCTTCCTTATACCCATATGGAAAAGATATATATAAATCTTATAAAGTTTTTATTTGTCTTGTATGAAACTTGTATGAAAAGCATACAGGAGTGAAAACACATATAAGATCCCTTGAAAAATTATATAATGAAACTTGTATGTTTTATATACTTACTAAAAGAATATATGAAAGTAATGAGAAAGTGGCCACTTTCATGAGTAAATCATATATGTTTTTACTATTTCTTTTCCATATGGGTATTGTTGTAGGGTCTTAACCTTATAACATATATTTTAGGCAACAAAAATGTATTTAATTCCAACCCCCTCTTCGGATTTCCTGCCCACTCCACCATGTCAGTCCTGGAAAAGAACAAACCTGGAAATGCCCCTGATGAGGCAGACTTTTAGTTTTTAAAGCATTTCATGCAGTGCACGAAGTTTGAAAGGAGGACGAGAAGATCACACGGGAACATCTGAACATTCATGTGATGATTCTCAAAATGCCTTCATCATAAAATGTCCATTTGAACCCTGAAAGCACACTGGGAAGCATCAGCACTGAGCAGCCGGGGTCGTATTATGGTGAGTCCTTCATGCTTGCCAAGAGCTGCACGGACTGTTAGGAAAGCGACAGAGGACACTCAGGGACTCCTGAATTCAATCTGTGGGATCATTCTGCTACATGGAAGATACAAGTACAACTTAACCAGAGGGAAGCTTTAAAAACCTGATTTTGGGGCAAAGAGAGGAATTTTAACCATCTCTATCCTGATGACTCTATTGCTTTAGGAAAAGAGCCAAAAGCATCATTGATGCCTGAGAAGTCCATCGGCAGTAGACTGAGTGTGATCGCCTCTTTCTGTTTCTCTGCTCTTTCCTGCACCTCTGGACCTTTGTGTTCCCCCCTCATCGTCTAAACTTTCCATTCTTGAGAGGAAGAGAAAAACAGCAATCGGTGTTCAGTCCTGGTAACAACAGTGTGGTGGCTGTGAGCGTGATGAGTCGGTGTGAGGGGATTTGAAGAGGTCTAAAACCTCCTCTGTGTTGTTGTTGTCAGCCCTTCAGCTGCAGAGCTCAGAAAGTGCCGTCTGCAGCCAAACAACGAGCCTGAGCAGCCTGAGGACCTCACAAACCCACACGCTCACTCTGACGTCAAAAGGGCTGCTTCTTAACGAGCATCAGCGGAGTTTAAAGCCGCGATGAAAACGTCGACCAGTCGGCCCTGATTGTTCAGATCTGAGGTCCTCAAATAACACAGCTGTATAATTATCATTTTACATCCTCTCAGGATCTTCACCCAAGACCAACAGCGCCCCCAGCAGCTGATGCAACATCATTGCAGTGGAAAAAACACCGTTTTCACACGCAGGTCCACCTGAGGGGAGGCGTTCAAGTTTGAAACGAAGAGTTGTGCATTTATCTGGTTTTATTGAAGCTTCGACAGGTGTGGACCTGTCTGAGGATGAACTTCAGCTGGGCTGTACTTTCATGTAACATCGTTCGTACCACAACCTGGTGCAGCGAGCCAGTGCAACCTTTATTTAACCAGGTTATTAAGAACAACCTTTTTCTGGGATCAAATCTGTTGAGGAAACTGAAGTAGAAGATGGAAAGATTGCAACAGTTTGCTGGCGACATGTCACCCCCTGGTGGCCAGAGTTGTAGTTACAGTTTGAGGGTAATTATGAGAAGTTTCTGGAGCGTTTTCAGTGATTTTAGCTGCCAGTGGTGGTTTTTCAGCACAATTACTTTTATTATTATTACGCAGTAAAAAAGAAAAAGCTGTTGTCTCATTAGTACCAGACAGCAGCTGGATCAGTGCCCAGTATAAGGGAGAGATATTTAGTACAGGAGTCGGGCTCAGATGTCGCTATTGGTCGAATCGATCCTACGAGCCCACTTTAGAGCCTCGCTGTTGTCCAGCACTTCCTGTCTGTAACGGCGGCTCTCAGCTGTAGCTTTGCAGTCGTAAATGAAACGATTCATCTGCTCCGTGCTTCACTAGCAGCTTTGCATGATATGCAATTCAAAATAATCCCTTAGCTCACACTGAGCCTCTGCGCGGTCTTTGAGAAACTCCTGTGAAGGTGAAGATTTTCCCAAACCAGGAAATTTAGTCTTGCAACTCTGAAAATAAACCTTCATCTCTGTTTTTGGACATCATGTGGGCCGCGTTCTTGTTTGTGGCCGGTGTTCGTTTCTCACTGACTGATTGGTTGGGATGATATCGACACCCGCTGCTTTGGCGTGCTCTCGGCAGCACTTGAGAGAATACTGACGACTGAGATGTTTATCAACATGAACTTGGGGGAAAAAAAATGCCTGTTATTAAAAAAATACTCCTGTACATGGGAGACCTTTCAGTTCTGGCTGCTCCACCGTTCTCTGTGACATCACAAAGTTCCAGGAATAGAAAAGCCTGATAAAATGAGTGAGTGCAGCCTGACCCATCGGCTCACAGGGATGGCTGTACATACACTGAGCTCATTATTACAAACTTTGATCAAGTTAATATGAAGGAACGGGAGATTTATGACAGGAAACAAGAACAAAACGAGGAAAACAGGTCCACTTTTAATCTAATTTTATTACCTGGTTATTTAGTAAATTAGATTTTTACATCTTACTCATTAAAAATAACGACCCCCTCAGATAAATCTCGATAAGTGCATTTAGAAAAGGACAGGCGCCAAAAAACAACCATTACAAGAGAAGCTGGAAACATCTGTGAGTCTCTCTTCTTGTATATAAAAGGAGGTAAAGCCACAGATTCTGATTGTCCACAGAACGACCCAGTCTGCACGATGACATGGAAGTAGGACAGTCTCTGTTTGCCCCACCCAATTCCGCCTGCAGCATCTTGCGTCGCCTTTAGCAGACGACAGCGAGGAAACGCTGCCGCTCAGGGAGAGTCCCTGCAGCAGGGAATGATGAGAAAGTGAACACACACACACACACACACACACACACACACACACACACACGCTGTTTGACTTCAGCCTCTGACTCTTTATGGCTCAGAGTTCCCCGTGAGGAGCCTCCAAAACAAAACCCCAAATCCCCCCGACACGGTCCGGCGAGCCAACACAAGGCTCCGCCTTTAGGCGAGCGTTCAGCAGTCCTCTGAGTGTAATTTTCAGGCACTATGGATGGACACGCACGCACGCACGCACGCGCGCGCGCACACGCACGCACGCACGCGCGCGCACACGCACACGCGCACACACACACACACACACACACACACACACACTCCAAGCAGTCAGTCGTCCGGCTCGGTGACACACTGCTCCACGATCTCTCTCAGGTTGGGGTTCTCCATGGCGGCCGCCACTCGCTCCTTGTCGTTGATCTGTTTGTTAACTGAGACAAAAACAGAGACGACACAAACGTTCTGACAACTGGACCACACCGGAAACCCGCACACGTGCCGCCCCCTCCTGTAATGTTTGAGCTGGAATAAGCTCAGAGAGCGCTGCTTAGCTCCAACACATCATCTCATTGAGGGGTGAGGGGTGTTCCTCAGGGCTCCATTCTAGGACCTCAGCTGTTGCTCCCAGCTCGGGTTTATCTGAGTCTTTGTAAAGATTTCACCACATTTCTGAGTAACTCAGAGCTGGATCAGGTATCAGCGTCAGTGGGATCAGTGCTGTGGTTTCAGATTCAGGGTTTTAATGGTTAATGGCACCATGTGCTCTGAACCACTTGCTCATGTTTGTGCTGTAATGTTCATGCAGCGTTTTAGCCTCTTGTCTCTGCACTTTATTGCTGTGGGGATTTTTAGCTCTTCACTCTCACCTGTTGCTGTATTTTGTCAGTTTGCTCCATTTTTTAAAAGTCGTTCATGTAACTTGTCAGTACAGATAAAAAAAATAATAATATCAAGAGATTATCTTGCACCGTCTACATGCTAATACCTTTACACGTTGAGCACTTTAATCCCATAGTTCTTAAGTTTTGTGTAAATTAAACCTAAAGACGGTCAAAATAATAGTAACCATAGGAACCTGTGCAGAGCCGGAGTAGCATGTGACTAAAACAGTAGGACAGGGTTAGGAGCAAAGTCAGACGTGTAAAGTAAATACCATGAACGTCTTGGCTTCTAACAGCAGATTCAGGTAAAAGACAATCTGTAGTTTCTAAAAGCTCAGATCCTTCTGAACCCCTGCTGTCTTTGCTGAATACGTCTAGCTGCGTGTTCCACACAATCCATGAAAATGCCTTTCAAAAATAAATGAGGCAGACTTACTATCTTCTTCAGTAGAGTGTGTTCCTTCCGAAATGTAAATTTCCAACTGAGAAGGCAAAGAAAAAGAAGCGTTGTTAACGGGCTGCTGGTTTCAGAGTCATTTATCCAGCTTATATTCAGTTAACAGAGGATTTGAAAGCCCGGCTCTGCATAAAAGCGAGAAACACAGAGGAAGGTGGTTTAGGATTAGAAACTCTGAGAGCAGAAATAAAGCAGGATTCCTGCGCCTCAGAGAACAACAGACGCCATTCATCATTTAAAACTCAACTTTGAAACGTGAACGCTGCTCAGAGTGTGATAAAACTGAAATCTGACGGTGCACAGCGTGAACCCTCGATGACTGAGACCGCTCTCAGATGACTGGTTTCAGTGATAGGACTTGGTCCCCAATGGGCAGAGAAACGCTATCATGTGGCAGGAAGACAACGCTGGAAACTAACCGAGCTTTGTCCAAGAGGACATCTGGGGCCGGTGTCCTGCAGGTTTTAGATCTCACCCTGGGTCAACACACCTGAATCACATGACTTCATTACCAGGCCTCTGGAGAACTTCAGGACATGTTGAGGAGGTCATTTAGCCGTTTAAATCAGCTGTGATGGATCAAGGACACATCTAAAAACTCTTTTAGCCTCCGTCGGGCACTGCTAGCCTCTGTCAGCCTCTGTTAGCCTCTGTCGGGCACCGTCAGCCTCTGTCGGGCTCTGCTAGCCTCTGTTAGCCTCTGTCGGGCACTGCTAGCCTCTGTTAGCCTCTGTCGGGCAGCTAGCCTCTGTTAGCCTCTGTCGGGCACTGATAGCCTCTGTTAGCCACTGTCGGGCACCGTCAGCCACTGTCGGGACTGCTAGCCTCTGTTAGCCTCTGTCGGGCACTGCTAGCCTCTGTTAGCCTCTGTCGGGCACCGTCAGCCACTGTCGGTGCTAGCCTCTGTTAGCCTCTGTCGGGCACTGCTAGCCTCTGTTAGCCTCTGTCGGGCACCGTCAGCCACTGTCGGGACTGCTAGCTCTGTTAGCCTCTGTCGGGCACTGCTAGCCTCTGTTAGCCTCTGTCGGGCACGCTACGATCTGTTAGCCTCTGTCGGGCACTGCTAGCCTCTGTTAGCCTCTGTCGGGCACTGCTAGCCTCTGTTAGCCTCTGTCGGGCACTGCTAGCCTCTGTTAGCCTCTGTCGGGCACCGCTAGCCTCTGTTGGGCTCTGTCGGACACTGTCAGTCTCTGTTGGGCAACATTAGTGAAACTTTTTTTGAAGTGGATGCAACTTTCTCGGACTCGAACACTAAGTGAATAAACTCTCACATGATGTGAGAATGAAATCAAACTGATAATGAGAAGAACAGACATGAAAAGTGTTAGCTTATAACCAGCTGTTGTTGTTTAACCAGTGCTCGTCAGGCTTGTCTAATCTGCCGGTAAAAAGTAATTAGGACAACATCAGGAATAAATGAGCATGTTTATGCACTTTTCATGTGTTACCTATTAATTATACGTTTAACAGAATGTGAGTTTATTTTTCATGAGAATCAGGAAGAGAGGATTAAATACACTCACTGTATTTTTAATGTTCCTGTGTGGTTTGGATTAACTGCTATGCAAACAGTCAGTGAGAGCTTCCTGCAGAAATCAGGCTCCATTAAACAAACTTTTCATTACTCTGATAACTTTTTCTGCCAGTGTGAAGCTGCTTTGTCCAGCACTGCTGATTAAAATCACTCCTCTAATTAAGAGGCTACTCGACTCGTTTGTAAAGCAGCTTTAATGATGAAGCTTGCAGCTCTCCACCTGCCTGCACCCTCTCCGGTCTGTCTGATAGCAGTCCAAGAACTCCTCGATCTCTGATGCTGAAACCTCTCCAACGAGCTCATGAATAAACCGCTAACGGGCTGCCAAGGCCAGCGGAGGGTTCGTCGACAGCGGTATTCCTGCCTCCGTTTCTCCGAGTGCCGCTCATTGATGTGTTAATGACAGAACAGCTGTGTCTGTCCAGGAAGCTTCGACTCCTCCGCTTCCTTTTGTTCTCTGTTCGATTTGTTTTGTCACGTCTGAGTTTGGAAGGCAGTTCAAACGTCTACGCACACAAAAACAGCACCGGGTGAAACTTCTATAATTATATTGCTAGTTGCTCTATACAGAAAATGGCTGAAAGCAAAGGTGTCATTTGGCAGAGGTCAGCTGACCACCTTGTTGTGGCATCACTGAGAAGCGGGTGCGCATTTTAACCTAGACCATGACGAGCTCCGCCTAAACCCTGACCAAAAGTAGAAAGTGGGCGGGGGAAAAGGTGATGCTAATTGCTAAACACAAAGGTTCAAATCCAACCTTCCTTGTGTATTTTCTCTGTACATATTTGATACCTAATAAAGTTGTTTTTTTTAAATGTTCGATTGCTACCTAAAAACTGGAATTAAAACTAAAGCTGGCGATTTTCCAGCAGCTCTGGCTGGACGCTCTTTGGCCCAAAGTGCTAAGACTCGGAGACCAAAGCAAACAGGAGAGATTCACTGCACTGGCTTGACCACAACATCAAGATAAAAAGGATCTACGGGGGCTTGATGCCAGAGGAGGTCGGGGTGAAAATGTGTCATCTGTGGTTTGGGTGCAGCGGCTTATGTCACGCTGAAACTCACCTTGTGTTTAAATGGCAAACATCGCTGGAGCTTGACTTGTAAGCACAGGCCTGCAGACACAGAAGAAGCTCATCAGACACTGACGAAGAGCAACGTTAGCAGCAGATTAGACGAGTGTGTCAGAGTTTACTGATGAGGAAAACAGCAAACAGGAACATCAAACATGAGAAGAAGCACGTGCCATAAAAACTAAGGCACTGTGTGTGTGCATGAATGTATGAATGAATGTGTATGTGTCTGTGTGTGTCTCTGTATACATGACTTCCTGCCACACAATATATGCTTACAACTGTTTAACCACATTTCCTGGTTATCCAAAGGTCATCTCCCCACTCCTGTATACAGCTTAACTTTAATGGTTCACCATATACAAGCATAGGGGAGCCCCTAAATGGCCGGGGCTGAACATCCTTCACAAGATACGGAAATCTGTAGTTGTGCCTGTAGTTAAACATTACGGCCCCCCCACCATTCAACAGGCCGGGGAGGAGAACAAAAGAATATCTAAACATGCCGTTTAAGAAAAGGTTTACAAACTGAAGCACAACAATGACAACATTTAACAAAATCACTCCAACAACAATAAACACATCGTGAGAGCAGCCTCCCATTCAAAAAGAACCAACTTCTGCCATTAGCTGCTAAATTAATCATAGTCCCACAGTGATGTCTTCAGCTGCCACAGCATGTCGGGTTTTATATAGTCTGTGTTGAAGTAGATTCACTCTGTCGCTCCGACCGTTTGATAGAAATAGGAAAAGGAGCTGGAGCGGGCCCATAAAACATCCAAAAATGGAGCCACAGCTGTGTTAAAAGGCTCTCCATGATGCAGCAGCGCTGTCTGGTTAAAACTTTATTTACACACACACACACACACACACACACACACACACACACACACACACACACACGCTTCCAGAGATCGCTTTGAGCTAAAAGCGAGGCGCTGGTTATTTCCTGCTGCTCATCACATTAAGAGCGTCCTCGGGCGGACTCTGTCACTGCAGCGCCGCCGCTGTGAGGACGTCCAGAATAATAAGTACGAGCTCTGTGGCTGCCAGCGCGGCGGCCTTACAGAGGTGATGGAGAGACTGGACTGTGATTAAAAGGGAAACAAACTTCTAATTAAAATAAATCAGGTGGTTACGACCCCGTTGCACAAGAATTCAGCGATGTGCAGCTCTCATAAATATTCATGTTTTATTCCCAACAGAAGAGAGACAAGACATCAAATGTTTAAACTGAGACTTTTACTGTTCTCCATGGAAGAGAGGAACATTTTGTAAGAAGGAGAAGCAGCGGGGCAGCTCGCTCTCTGAGCACGAGGCTGTTTTCTACATGTTCATTTGTTTTCTTTGCTCTTATTAAATCTACTTTAACAAGTTTGCAGATACAGGCAGTGTGACAGAGGTTTACTCTGATTACACAAACTGTATGCAGGACTAAGTAGTATTATATAATATTATACTGCAGTATATTTCTGACTAACCTGACGACACTTACATACTTTGAAATCTGTAGACAGTACTTTCTATATGCTGACAACACACAGCACACCTGTAAGAATCATGGAAACTAACCTGACCCTGCTCTACCTGAAGCCCTGACACAGTGTATCCAGCTACGCGTCCACAGACAGAATGACACCAAACACAGAGCGGGTCACCTCGGCCGAGGTAATCGGGTCACTGGCAGCAGGTCAGTAACATGTCTGGGAACAAAAAGAGTGTGAGAAGGAAAGACGAGCAGAGGTTCACAATCTGCACAAAACTACGTCGAGCAGCTGCTCTCTTTGGCTCACAGACATTTATGCGCTGATGTAAAAGACGAGCGGACGCAGTGAGAAACACGTTCCTGCCATCAGATTCAAAATGAGCTCATTGTTTTATCATAGTGGTTCATTTTCTCAGTTTAAACACTGGACACATGTCTCGGTGCTCCAGGAGATAAAACAGGAGTTTATGAGGTTTGCAGTGTTACTTACACTGCACACGGCATCCCAACTAACAGCTTCTGGGGTGGATCACAGACTCTTGTGTGACTGGTGGTTGTTTGAACTTTTTAGTTCCTGATTTTTAACTCGATTTCATTTTGAAGTGTTCAGTCTTGTCTTTAGGCTCATGTTGATCTTTCACTCTGGTTTCTTTTTGTTGAAGCTACGATTCGTTTTTCAAATGCGGTTCCTCCTGTAAGCGTCTCCTGCAAAGATTTTCCATAAACCTTAGAAATAGATTATCTGGAATATTTTGAGTTGTCCTCCTAACAGGAGCTGAAATAACTCAGACTGGTTCAATCATCGACTCACCGATCAGCGTAGCCAGGGAGCAGTGGGGGACGGTGGGGGAGAACCTGATGATGATGAGGTACTCGTCTTCTCCGAGCTCCTGCACCTCCACGCACTTCTCCGTCACCACCTCCAGCTCCTCCAGGGTGTTGGGCTTCTCTGGGTCACGGATCGATTTGATCACATCTGATGGAGGGCAGAAAAAGAAAACGTGAGTCACATGACGGCGAGATTAAAGTGAGAAAACAGGCAAAGCCTCGTGTTTGAGGATCCGCTGAAACAAACTGAGAATGATACGAAGAGTCCAAGAAATTCTGAGTTTTTCCTGCTGCAGAGCAGACCTGTAGGAAGGTCACTGTGAAGGAAGTGAGTCTCAAGGCTGTCAGGCTCAGATATATACATACACCCCCACGAATGTCAGGTTAAATGCCTCTTAGCAAGATGCACCTCAACCACATGTTTTTGTATCCATCAACCAGCTTCTGGCACGTCTGGCTGATATGTGACTGCTCTCCTTTGCTGAATCAGTCGAGTTCATTTAAACTGGTCCACAAATTTTCAGGGGTTTGAAACGCTCAATGCTAAGCCCAGTGTTAGCCTGCTTTATCCAAAACCAGTTCTGATGTGTGTTTGGGATCGTTGTCCTGTTGGAACTCCTGACTGTGTCCCCATTTCACTCGGCTAGCTGCTCATTTGAGCTGAGGGGGACAGTCTGGGTGTCTCCCAGACCTCAGTGGGGACAGATCTGAGTAACTTGTGTGATCTTGGATCCTTGCTCAGAAACGGCTCAGAGAGACTTTCCCAACTTGTGTAAATCTGCACTTCTGCTTTTCAGATCTTCACTGAGATGGCTGGACTTTCCCATTGTTCCCAGTATTGGTCAATCCAGTGAATGCTGTCAAACAAATCCTTTTTATGCTGCAGAGAGAATCTGTCAGCCGTAATTAGCCATGATCACTAATGAGAAGCTAACAGGCCTCGGCCAAGTTTAAAGACATTATAGAACCTCCAACATCATTTATCACAAGCTTTCAGCATGTGCACGTAAACATCAAAATCAATTCAGACTTGAGCACCCAGATCCTGTTTTTAAGTTTTTTAAAACTGTCCATCCTGGAAGAAGAACCGCTCAAAGAAATCATTAAAAGCCCAAAATGACTGTGAGGTTCATGCCTGTGATGAGTGGATGGAAACCTCATGTAGTTTTACTGAGGAGGACAGTTAAAAACAGGTCAAATGTTGAGCCTAAGTTTTAATTCTCTAACCTTTTCCACATGTTTAACCAGACAAATCTTTTCTTTCGTCGCACCAAACTCCAGTTCAATAATCTCACATTTAACTTAATCTTCAACAGTTTACGTTTTTACTACTAATCTATAACACCTGCTAAAGCTCATTACACGGTCGACACTTCGGCGCGTGATTTAATCATCTGCGAGCAAAACTGACCGAAAACTCTTACTCAGATAGTTTTTCTTACAGTGTGGCGGCAGTCATCACTGACTGCATGTGTTTAACATTATTTACAGTCGTTGGTATTTATTGTCAGTATCCTGGCCGTGGGTTTACAGACTTACAGTACGTAGACAGGTTAGCTGACAGTGCAGTAGAGCCCTGTTTATGAGACCAGAGCCTCCATTAGCCTCCATTACTGGCTGAACGTACCGTACACTTCTAACGCTTTCTCCTCCATCTTTTTGGCCCTCGGGGCATTCCAGTTGTCCGTCAGTCCGGAGAACTGTAAAACCTTCGTGACAGTTAACGACACGAGGCTCAACACTGCTTCCATGTTTTAGAAAACGCCATAATAAACGGGACCTGTCGCGGTGACTTTGGCAGGAAAGCTAATGACAGCCGTTAGCGTACAGCAGCGCGCCTTCAGCAGATCTCTATCTGCGACAATGGAACCAAGCAGCTACAGTTAGCATGAGCGCTAACTGCTAAACTGTATACAGATCGGCGGTGTTAGTCTCAGCCAATTAGCGTGTCGCTTTCTAGAGCTGGGTCCAGGGAAAAGCAATCGATCCACGATGACGTTATTGCGCATGAGTTTCCGCGGAGGTCAGCTGACAGTAGAGGCAGCACACGTGACAACTGAAACCGAGCAGCTGTTTACATGAGAAAAGGAAGTATCCAAAGAGCTTCGACAGCAGATTTATTCTTCTTTTGAAACTAAAATGTCCTCTTAGCTCACAGTTAGACCTTTAATCCGGTTTCTCCGGTCCCGGTTCACCTCGCGAAGATGTTGGAAGCGGATCAGCGGCTGCAGGCTGGATCCACGGAGGTAGCTGTGATCCCGGAAAATCAGCACTGTGGTGATGTAGCGGACGTACGGAAAGCCGAGCTTGCTCCTGGAGGCTCCCTGCTCGGATGTCTGGGGGTCCGGGGGCAGCTGGTGGTGTGGGACCCGGCGGACAGAGAGGCTTCTCCGGCTGCAGTGGAGGGCAGCTACCGAGAGTGAGTCAGCAGGAACCGCACAGATAGTGACTGTGATAACGCTGAATAATCTCCGAGTAACTGGTTCAACATGAAAATGCGTTGGATCTGAGACATCCTCTGTTTAAACTAGAAGCCATCAAACAGAGCTCCTCCTGGCACTGTCCAGCTAACATTTAACTGTGATTTCTGACTATTTGATGTTTGCTAAAATATCTACATGATTTGGGTAATGTGACACACACACAATAAGAAAATGGGCTGAAAATAAATGCATGTATTACTAAAACACCAACATGTGTTTGTATGCTGAAGCACTGCAGTGCGTGGCTCTCTGTGGAGTGCAGCTGCACAAACGGAGACAAAAAGCCAGTAAAACGCCTCCAAAGACAGCTGATACTGCAGCTGGAGGTCAGCAGACGTCCTCCCTGTGCTGTGTCGGTTAGTGAGGGCTGCCCAGGACTGCAGGTAAACAAGCAGATTTTCTAAAAGTTTCTTTCTGCTCACAGTTTTTCGTGGGAGGAGGTGTCCGTCCACTCTCGGGGAGTCGGCGGCTTCAGGCTGCTGGCTGTGGGATCTCAGGGTGACCTGAAGCTGCTGGAGGTCAGGGCTGAGCGGTCGGCCTTCACCTCCGTTCTCTGTGTGTGTGAGTATCCTGCAGACCGCCTGCTGCAGACCATCAGAGACCAGGACCCCAGTGAGTACCAAAACCGTCTAGACCACCCGCGGCTATTAACGTGTTGCATTAGCTGACCGAGTGTTTGCTCCCAGGTGTGAGCGAGCTGCAGGCGGTGCAGGTGTTGTCCTTTGTGACTGCCCGCTGCTGCGCTCTGCTGAACTCTGATTGGCTGCTGCAGCTACAGTGGCAGCAGGAGGAGGAGGAGCCTCAGACGTTATCCTGCTGCAGAGTCCAGCTGGCCGACAGCGTCTCGTGCTCTGCTGTCCATCACTGCGTCTCCATGGAAACCCTGTTTGCCCTCAGCTCCACTGGACTCATATGTATCCTTCACGGTCTCACTGCTACACACAGTATTACAATCAGCACACTGTGACATACGACACTGAGAACATGGCTCATGACTCACACACCGTCCTAAACAGGTCAGCGCGAGTAACAGTGTGCAGAAGGTCACAATATATAATATGTGCACTGACGGGCGGCGGAAGTCCTGCAGATGATCCCCCAACAATAACATAACTTATGAAAACAGACATCGCTGGGTGATTTCTTCTTGCAGCTGCTGCTGTTATGGTCCATCCCAGTACCACGTCCTCCTTTACTGCATCCACCCACGAACCTCTTCTGAGGCCTTCCTGTTTTCCTCCTGCCTGCCAGCTCCATCTTCATCATCCACTCTCCGTCCTCTGCACACGTCCAAGAGCGCGTTCCTTTAGTTAAGAGACAGGAAAGAGGGATGTGTATCGATGATGGAGTTCTCCTTTTTATGAAGCATTTAAATACATTCCTCTCAAATTGTTTGCGGTGTAACTTTCATGAATGCATGAAATAAAGCGCCTCGTTTTTGTCCATACATCCTTTTCTTTAACTCCACCCCCTCCAGCTGTGTGCAGCGTCTCTGATGGCACTCTGCTGGCCAGCGTTAGCCTGCCCGCCTACCTGAGCTCCAGCCCGGCAGAGGACGAGCTCACCTCTTTCCCCTTCTCCTCCTCTGCCTCCTTCTGCCTCCTCCAGGTGTCGGCTGATCTGAGCACAGCCGTGGCCGTCACTCAGTCCCACGCCGCCATCGCCGTCGACCTCAACCACTACTTCAGGTATAAAGTCAGTGCAATGACTTAGAAGACATCTCGATGAGTAGTGTCTGTGTTAGAGTCTGTTTGTGGTGATTCAGGTGAAAAGCGTCACATTAAAGCCATAAAGTGCTGAAAAGATTCTCAGAATGGTGACAGAAGCAGAAACGGCGAGGGCGGGGTGGATTCGTCTGCGGCGCTCTGATCCTGTGCGTGAGGTTCCCGGCTCAGCTGGAGGAATATTAAACCGATTAACTGCATCAAACAGGGAAAATCTAATGGCGCCGACTCGTCTGCGAGCTAATCCCGCTCTGCACTGCAGAGACTGCACAGAGCAAACTTCAGAGTCATGATCTGTCTTTCAGGATGTTTCCGGACCACCTGCTGTGCGCCGCCCCTCGGTCACGCCCCCCTCTTCAGCCGCAGCACCCCAGAGACCAGGACAGCCTGTCGAGCTCCATCTTCAGCGTCTCGGCCCTGGGAGCGACCTTCAGCACCGACCGGTAAGCTGCGGAGCGTCTGGATTTATGAGCTGTGACTGAAACTTTCTTGATTTTTGTTTGTTAAAATAGTTATTTATTTTAAGAAGAGAAAGGTCCACCTCTGACCTTTCACCTCTGACCTCAACTCCAGCTCCTGGGAGGCTCGTCTCAACTCCATGTACAGCAGAGCAAAACAGGCCACTGCTCCTTCCTCCTCCTCCTGCTTCTCTTCATCTCAGCCTCCCAGGACCTCCTCCTTGTTCTCCTCCCTCCCCCACCTGGACTCCCACCTGGCTCCATCCTCGTCCTACAGCAGAGTGCCTCCGGGGGGGATGACCGTCACTTTCGCCGTCCCCGAATCGTCCGCTTCATCTCAGCTCACCGTCTCTGAGTTCTCCGCTCTGCTGACCTTCGTCCGCCCGGGAAACCAACAGACCACAGTTGCATTGTGGGATATGAAGTACGGGAACGTGAGATACCACCAGGCGGCGGGCGAGGCAGCGCCGGTTCAGCGCTGTGGAGAGCGGCAGCATCGGCTGCTGCTGAAGAGTAAGTCGCCGCGCTCCAGGTCACTGTTGCTGTGATGGCCTCAGCAGCCCGACAGGGCGCCAAAGGTTCACACGGTTACTCTGCACAAATGAATCCAACTTGGTTTTTTGTCCACGTAATTTTCAAAAACTTGCAGTTTGTGTCGAAGCGGCGCGATCACCTGACAGCTCGTGTTTCTGTGAAAGAAAGGAAAGACAGCAGGGACCGCATCAAATCAGCAAGCCCCGCCTCCAGTAACCTCACATCCTGTGTGTGTGTGTGTGTGTGTGTGTGTGTGTGTGTGTGTGTGTGTGTGTGTGTGTGTGTGTGTGTCAGAGGCCGGTGTGTTCCAGGTCCTGTTCTCCGTATCGCAGCAGGACTTGCTCAGCCGGCTGATGTTGTTCGGCAGCGCGGCGACAGTGGACGCAGTCTGCCACCTGAACAGCTGGGGGCGCTGCTCCATCCCCATCCACGCCCTGCAGGTAGCAAACAGCTGTATATCTAATTAAACCTCGTTCTGATCACAGGAAAACATTTTTGAGATCTTTGATGGTTCTGTGAGAGAGAAAATCCTGAAACAAAAAACTCTGTTATCTATTCATTAAGAAAAGTAAAAACAAATTCTACTTTGTTTCCACTGTTTATGACATTTGCATCAAACAGTTTGTCTTCTTTGTTGTTGCACAGACTGGACTGAAGAACCGTCAGCTGGACACGGTCGATTTCTACCTGAAGAGCAAAGAAAACGTCCTGAACCCTCCGGCGGCAGCGTTCAGCTCTGCTGATCAGCCCGCCGCCTCCACGCTGAGCCTCACAGACAGTACGTGCACGCCACGTTACAAGCACACGTTTTAGATCACAGGCAGAGAAGTGTGCAAACTGCTCGCAGATGCACGTGGATGCCGTTGAATGCAAATCTTCCAAAACAACTTTCCCTGAAACGAGTTCAGGAAAGAGTTTGTTGGTGCTTATTACACGAAGCAACAGCACAAAGCATCGTTCAGTTTAACTAAAGTCTGTAACATCAGAAAACACATAATCTTAGAGGCAAACTGCTGTGATACAAATATCTGTCCCCTTCCTGATTTCTTATTTTTTTGTGATATCGTGTGTAACGAGCCGTCGCCCCTGCAGGAGTGCAGGAGCTGTGTCCCGCCTTAGACCTGCTGTGTTCAGCCGTCAGAGACTCGAACAGCGAAGCTCAGAGCCGACAGTTCTCCGAGCAGCTGCTCAACATCACCCTGAGCTTCGTGAACACGCAGATCCGCTCCGTGCTGTCCAACACACACCGTAAGAGAACAAGCGCACACACACACACACAGAGCATTAATACAGGTGTCCGAGTTGACGCTGCTCTGCTGCGTCTGCAGACGAGGACTCGGGCGTGCAGAGCTGCATGAACGTTCTGGATCGGTACGTCGCCGAGCTGAGGAGCTACATGAAGAGATTCCCCTGGGCTGCAGGGCCCGATGTGTCGGCTACCAGAGCTGCGGCTCCGGCCGAGGAGGAGGCTCAGCGGGACGAGTGGGAGCAGCTCTCAGCAGAGGTCAGATTTAGACGTTTTTCTTTGGTCCCATAACCGCAGTAACCTTCCTGTGATGCTAAAAAATGTGTGAAAATCTGAAAAGTGTTGTTCTGTGTTCATGCTGCAGGAAGTGGTCCATCAGTCCATCCTGACCAATCAGATCCCAAGAGCTCAGGCAGTCCTGCGGAGGCAGAACCGGCCCGAACGTCGCCTGCCGGCTCTGAGGAGGGAGGGTCTGCGGCAAGTTTCCTCCTGCCTGCGGCGCCGAGACCTGCAGACCGCCAACACGCTCCTCGCCAACATGGTGAGAGCAGCTGACATCACACACGTTCAACTACAGGTTATCAGAAAAAGAGCAAAGATGAGCCTCATAGAAGAGAAGTAAAGACAAAAGTACCGATTGTTTTTTATCTCCTGTTCCATCAAACACGACCAACGTTTCTAATAATGTGGCCGCGGGTGTAGGAGTAAAGCCTGTGGGCCAGTTTATCTGCTCTGGGATCTGTATGATGTCACAGAGACTCTGAGTCCACAGTCTCAAACGGAGCGGGGCCTGGACCCCGGCTCTGCGAGCCGATTCGTCGATCCTTTTCGACGTAGCTTCAGCTCGCGTGTGAGCCAGCGCTGGGATGGATGTGGCAGCTCTGTTCTTTAAAGGAGACAGAGCGTCGAGGCTGAGCGGTCTGTGTTTGGGTTTGCAGGGTTTCAGTGTGAAGCAGCAGCTCCACCTTATCTGCCTCCACACGGATGACAAGGAGCTGAGGGAGCTGATGGTGAGTGTGGCGTGTTTCCCGGTATTTTACTTTGAAGCACGCTCTCCGTTTGTTTCTGTGAATGTTTACGTTCGTCCCCGTCCGACCTCTAAACTGTTCCTACTTGTTGCACAGGTGGATGAGCTGTCCAGTCGGAGTTACTTCCCAGAGGAAGAGAAGGAGAGTGTTGAGTTCATCGGGGAGATGGAGAAGCTGGGGTCGCGGCCGGCTGTCCGCTGCACAGGAAGTACCTCGCATCAAGGGTAAACAGCTGCTTGCTGAATCCACAGCACAGAGTTCCACCAATCAGAGTGGCTCTCTGTCACACTGCAGACGTCTGTGTTGTGGACGTGTTAGCTCCTGTCTCTTTATGCACCGCCCACCCAAAAACCTGCTTCTTTCTGATTGGTCAGCTTCTGGAAGCCGACCTAGTAGTTAGTATGCTGCACAGATGTTACAGCTTTTTTTTTTTTTTTTTTTTTAAAATGAACTTTATTTAGAACAATAACAATGACAATCTCAAAGAGACAAGCGACATATTAAATCAATCAGAACAGAATCACATCTCCTATACACCACAATGAAATCGACAATAACTGAAAGTAAACATACATACATACACACACATCACATATTTATACATATATATGCATATACATGCATACATACACATCCATATTCACACATCTACATAATAATAATATAAAAAGATGAATAACCAATACAAAAATAAATAAGAATAAAAAAAGAATGAAAAACAAGGAACAGAAATAAAGAAGACAAGGGGGATCATAAAATCTCTAAAAGTGAGGTTCCATAAACAAGACACATAACTTAAATAAGGGGCTAAGAAAAATCAAACTCTTCTAAAAATCTATGCAATTTGATTGCTTGGGGCTTATTTATTAGCTTAAGAGATTTACGGAACAGGGAGAGGTCGTTTTTAAGAGCAGGCCATGAAGGGGGGGATTTAGCATATCGGCACTTATGTATGTAATACTTTGTTACAGATGTTACAGCTGAGCTTTTTCAGGGTCGTAGGTAGGGCTGTGACTATTTTGATAGTCGACTAATCAGATCATCATCCATTGGACGTAAAACGTACAGCTTATTGCACCAGCAGCATCTGCTCTTATATAACTATCATTAGCTTACAGCTTTAAGCTTTTAAGGTGCTAACTAAAAATAAAGACAAGATGATAGTTTATTCAATTTTAATGAAATTTGCAGATTGTTTCGGTGAAGTTTAATAAACTCCTTGCTATCTAAAATATAACAGGACACCGGAGTAAATTCTCCAGCATCTCACACTTCTGATAATCAGCTGTCTGCTTGACGTTTATTCAGCTGTGTAAAAACTATAACTTTAATCTCAGCCAAACCGATTTACTCAGGAACAAATAAAATACTAAAAAAAGCCAAACAATAACATTTTAAGTTATCTAAGTGACTCATATATCATGTTTAACCTGAGTAGCGAAAGACAGCGGTGGGTTTGAAAACGATTTGCCGGGAGTCCGGTGTTCTCACGGCGCTAGTGACCTAGCCCCCGGCTAGCTATCGAGCTAGTGGGTAACAGACGTCTCCGAAAACGTCGGAGCGCTTTTGAAAATATGTGGTGTCCTGATAAACTGAGCAGATATTTGAGGTTTACACAGCTACATTCTCGCCTGAAAATATGTTAAACGTTTATTTTGTGACCCAGAAAGAATAATAAGAGTAATATTAAAACTAACTAGCTGCCGCCATTGTTGGAAACTGAGCTGGGCTGCGCTATGAATTCTGGGACACAGCTGCTTCTTCTTCTTCTTCTTCTTCGGGGTTTAACGGCAGCTGGCATCCTTGTACATGCAGTGCTGCCATCTTCTGTTTCAGTCCGTTATTACACTCTTAAATCCTGCTACTTATTCCTGCGTCTTTTGGGATCTTACAAAGCTTCAAACGACGCGTCAATCAGTCGTAGTCGTGACTAGTCGACTAATCGTGGCAGCCCTAGTCATAGGTGACACCTGGGTAAGATGTGTAAGGGCTCCATCCTACAGGTGGGACTAATGTGAGGAGTTTCAGAGTTTTCCACAGTCTGTGATGTGACTGTGGTCACGCTGAAAGCCTAGTTTACTTCTAACTGAAAAATACACAAAGTTTCTGCTCTATCAGCTTCCATCAGTAAAAACAGCCACGCTGGCTGATGGGCTTCATCATACCAGTCATCATAAAGCAGTCAAATATTACATTATTACACATTTGATCTCAAACACTGTGAACACGTTTATGGAAAATCAGGTCTGAATATTCCTCGGAGGTCTTTGCTGTCGTGTAGATGCATAAACTGTAAATGGAAAATGGCACATTCACCGTCGGGCAATCAGCTGGTTTTAAAGCTTCATGTTTAACCGCCATGTTTGTTTGTGGAGCCAGCAGACTGCGAGCATCACACAGACACCTGCTAATCTGTGACATCCAATCACAATGCTTTAATTTGACTGGACAGTCTGTTGGCACGGCAACCTCACAGCAGCCATATTATTGGTCAGGTAGTTGCATTATAAATGCTCTGACTCTGCTTCCTCCCACCGTGGTTATGAAGGACGAACAGACATTAATCCTCCTCAGCCTCCTGTTTCATCTTACAAACATCCCCATCCTGCTCTCAGCTGCTTTGTTTCGGCTCTGTTCCTGTTTTTGTTACCTGCCCTCCTCTGAACCCTCTGAATTCTCTCTTTATCTCCTCTAACCCGCCCCTCGACTCTTTCAGACGTTAAACCTCTGAGTAAACACAAACTCTTTGTTTTTGACTTTGAGAATCCAAAAACTTTCCGGGACTGTTCGGATGGCTCGTAAGGAGGGAGGCGGTGAGGAGGTTCTGAAAGAGCTGGAGGTGCAGAGGAGGCCTCGGGAAGACGAGGAGGAGGAGCGGGGGGGTCTCTGGAGGACACTGAGACTGGACTGGGTGAAGAACTGGGACCAGAGCTGCCGGACAGCCGTCCTCCTGTCCAGACTGCAGCACGCAGGTAGAACCCGGGTCGGGGTCAGATTCTAATAAGTCTCCGTTCAGCGTTAACCTCCTTTTCTCCGTTAGAGCTCAGAGCCTGCGACGCTTCAGTGCTGTGGCGTTATCTGACCGCCCTGCACGACCAGCGCCGCGTGGTCGACTGGATCCAGAATACGGAGACCTCTGGCACCCCCCGGTGGCCGGACTTAACCCCAGAACTGGTGAACGACAGCACGGCCTGCAGCAGCTACATGAGGGAGAACATCCTGGACCTGCTGGCCAGGTACAAACACAGACGTTTGTGCACAGGTGTCCTGGTTCATCACAGCTCCACTGTGAGCAGCGATGAGGTCACCTGCATCCAAAAGGCCAAACTCTGACCACACAGACGTGACCAGAAGCTCCCGTGTACACCGGGACACCGCACGCCCACCGTCTCCAGTTTAGCCTGATATCGACCAGCATATCAGCTGTGCAGCTGGCACGGTGCAAGAAAATAACCACAGGGTTTTATTTCCTGCAGGAGAGGCGTGTTCATCCCGGACGAGCTGGCACACCTGGAGCAGCTGCTGTGGAGGTTGGCTCAGGGTGGAGGCGTGATGTCTTCTTCTCCTCCCATCCCTCAGTACCGCTCCCCCCTCGGGCTCGACCTCCACGGCGTCTTTATCACCTTCTGTCTGGAGCACAACCTTCAGTACCTGCTCTACACCTACCTGGAGCACTACAGGTGTGTGATATGATGTGATGTAAGTGCTGATGATGGCCCCGCCCCTCCCTGAGCCCGCTTCTGTCTGAGGTTTCTTCCTGTTAAAAGGGAGTTTTTCCTTCTCACTGTTGCCAAACTCATAGGGGGTCACATGACTGCTGGGTTGGTCTCTGTATGTGTTGTTGTTGGGTCGACCTTATGGTGACACCATTATGAGCTCTGGCCTCCTGTCCACAGACTGACCCCCAGAAACTGCTCCCTCCTGAGCAGTCAGAGCCTCTCTGAGCGGCAGCCCTGGTTCGAGATGCTGGTGCGGATCCAGGAGATCACCAGAGATCTGTCAGGTGGGAACCGAACTCTGCGCTCTCAGTTTGAGCGCGTTCCTCGTCCTCCTCGCTCCTCAATCCTTTCTTCATCGTGCTTTGTCCTCGTTCTCTGCTGCAGATCCAGGACTGGTGTTCCAGGCCAGTCTAACCAGTGCTCAGGTGTTATTACCTGGCAGCCAGGCGTCTCTCAGCAGTCTGCTGTTAGAGGGTCACAGTCTGCTGACGCTGGCCGCCATCATGTTCGCCCCCGGAGGAATTGACCAGGTAAACTCTGCTCCTGTCAGGAAGCTGCTGCTCTGTGTGGAAACAAAACCCTGACAGGTGTTAAACATGAAGAAGGGTGGAGGATGAAGTGTTTCCTCGCTGTGCTTTCAGGTGATGGCTCAGGGTCAAAGGTCGGGCAGGTCAGAGAGGACGGTCGACCCACAGCTGCTGAAGATGGCGCTGGCCCCACATCCCAAACTGAGGGCCGCCCTGTTCCCTGCCGTCCCCCGAGGAAACGGCCCGCCCTCCGACATCTCCGTGTACCACCTGCTGCAGGTAAACGCCCACCCGTCACCTGCCAGCTCATTAGTATTCACCTCGTTATTGTCGGTATTCTGACGGCCCGTTGGTGTTTCCTTCCAGTCCCTCCACCCTCTGGACCCGTCCAGGCTGTTTGGCTGGCAGGCAGCAAACACCCTCAACTCCACAGGTAAGACCCGAAAGCCAGCACAAAGGTCACGGCTCAGGTGGTGACAGGAAGCCCCACCCCCAAAAACCTCTGAACTTTGGAAACTGAGAAGCAGAAAACAGATGTTTTCTTTAAATTGAGTGTGACTGTGATCTGTGGTGAGTGTAGGAAGCAGGTAAAAGATACCCTGCAGAGGGGGAGGTGCTGTAGAGGAAGGGAGACAGGTGGAAAGGTGAAGCTGCAAGGAGCAGAGGTCGTGAAGGCGGTGCATGTGCCTGGGGTCAGACGTCCAAAGAGAGGACAAGAAGAAAGTGCAGGTGGAGACGAGTGTCGGGGTGATCCAGCAGGAGTGAAAGGGAAAGTTTGAAGATGGCGGTGAGGCCTGCTGTGGTGGTTTGGAGACGGCGGAGGATGAGCTGAAGACGTTTGACATGTTGTAAGATTTTAAATGTTCCTGTTTGTGATGATTCTCCACAGAAACATCAGAGCTGCCTCACTTCTCCAGCCCTCACCTGGTCCAAAGGTTCGCTCTAAAAGAGAATCTGGACTATCTCTACTTCCTCCACCACGGTCGGCCATCTTTCGCCTACGCCACCTTCCTCGTCCAGCAGCTTAGCGGCAGCGGGGACGTCAGGCTAACGTGAGTACCGCACGCTCGTTTCAGAGCTTCTGTGAGGAAAGTGTAATGGTGCGAGGACACCACGCAGGAACATCGTCCTTCTGCTAAGCATCAGCGTCATGTGTCCCAGGCTGCAGGAGGCCTCGCGGCGAGCGTCCAGGTCGGCCCTGCAGCGTTTCAATGCGCCGTCTGTGGCGTCGGCCGCCGTTTGTTTCTGTGAACTGCTGGGAGTCTGCAGCCTCAAGCTGAGGGTCGACATCAGAGCCATGAACGCAATCCTGCAGCACTGGAACCAACGCAACAGACACAGCAGCCCGACACAGCATCTGCACACTCTGGGTACACACACACACACACACACACACACACACACACACACACACACACACACACACTGAGTTTAACCTGCAAAATTCTCACTGAGCAGGAAGGAAACTGAGAGGCGAACAGGAAGTAGCCGATGCCTTCAAATGTGTAAAGGGGAAAATGAGCTTTTTCTATCAGGCTGTAGTTTGAACATGGACTCACTGTGGCGCCTCTGCTGGACATTAGAGGAACTGCAGGTGGTTGCTTTTACATTTCCCCTCTGCTGTCTCATTAAGTGTCTAAAGGTGTGAAACTGGTGGAGGCGGAGCCTGGAGCAGCAGAGGAGCTGATTGGTTACCTGGAAGCTGCAGTAACAGACAGTTTGGAGCAGAGAGGCATCAGCAGGTCAGCCCCGCCTCATTGATGCATTTTAGTGTGACGTGCTCTGCAGCTCGGAAATGTCTGAAATAGACTTTTATTGTGTTATTGAAGTTTTTTTTAAACAGGAAGTACAAGGCTTGCTTCCTGTTTTTGTGTAAAGGTTAAATGGGCACTTCATATACCTTAAACACAGGCTGAGGTTTCTGTGTGTGTGTGTGTGTGTGTGTGTGTGTGTGTGTGTGTGTGTGTGTGTGTGTGTGTGTGTGTGTG